GTGTGTATGTGCGTGGTTGGGTGAGTGTGTGTGTGCGCGCGCGTTGTTGTTGTTTTTTTCTTTCCCCCTCCCGGTAGGTATTTTGTCTCCCTCTTCACCTCTCCCTCTGAGATGAGTGAGTGTCAGTAAGTGTTGGCAGGTTGGCTGCTGGCTGGCTTATAGAAGAGGCTCAGTTTTGCGGCGCTGATCGGCGGGAGAATGAAATGACGGAACCCGGAAGTAGTGGTGGCCATAGCCAGTCCTACAAGAGAGACACATACAAGGGAGAGGGGAGAGGGAGAAGAGGGAGTGAGAGAGAGAGAGAGAGAGAGCGGGCGAAAGCAGGCGAGCCAGCTCGCGCTTACAGTCTGCGATATGCAGAGTATGCAATCAGGGCTGTTTCCACGCCACCCGGGGTGGGGAGGCGGGGGCGCGATGCAGCACGTTCAGAAATCTCAACCAAGCCGGCTCCCTGTTCCAGATAGGCGCGGAAAAGTGGAATGATACAGAGGGAATCTCGGGAGGAGGAAGAAGAAAACGAAGAAGGAGGAGGAGGAGAAGCAGGAGAGGGAGCAAAAAGAGAGGAGAGAGAGAAGGGGGGAGGTGGGCTGCTGGGTGCGTGCGTGGGAACTACAAACAGCCCGAAGGGGTTTTTTTTAAAGTATCCTAGAAGCCTAGCTCTGTTGCTTTTATTTATGGAGAGATTTTACCCTTCGGTATCCTCCTTTGCCTGGCCGCGCCGCTTAGCCATCGCTTCGCCTGGTGTTTGTTGTTCTCTTCTTCGGAGGGTAACTCTCAGTCCTGCGAGGGTTCAGTGTCCAGGAGAAGAGCCGAAGGAACTCGGGCAGTGGCGAACGTTTGGAAAGAGGCGCGGGCAAACTTGTTCTGCCAGCGGAAACTCCTAGCCTGCCTTAACAAAGTCCGCCATCCTTGTCAGTAGAGTGCATTCAAAGAGCTGCTTGCGCCGCGTGTTTCCTTCTCTGCGTGAAACTCGCTATCTTTCGCTGTTGCTGTTACTCAGAATGATTTTCCTTGGAGGGGAGCGCTCCGCTTGGCACCCTTTACTCTGTGCTCGGTTCCCTCAAAGCCGTTGTACGAGCGGGGGTCTACGCAGACGACTGAGAGAGGGCGAGGGGGGGAGGAAAAGGCATCCTTTTAGGCTGGGCTTTGGCGCTGCTTGGGCGTTACGAAGCGAGGGGAACATTCCCCCTCCTTTTCTCTGTTTTATTCCAAATTGTAACATATATATATATATTTAATGCACTTTTTAAAATCGGGACTAATCCCTCTTGAGATCGCTTTGCTTGTTTTCTAAAATCTGTACCCTTTGGCTGGGGGGAAGGTATTATAATTCTCTGTTCAAAACAACGTAAAGTCACAGCTATTGTTGTAGGTGTTATTACAGCGGTTGTTCTGCAGAACTAGTGCGGTGGTGCCCTCTGGTTCCTACGGCCAAGTGAACTTTTGAAAACACACCCAGCGGACTTTCGCGGCCCGTCTCTTTCACTCCCCCCCCTTCTCTCCCACAGGCACTCACAAGCTCTACCTACCACGTTAATTTTGGTGAGGGGTGTGTGTGTGTGTGCGCGCGCGCGCGTGTGCAACCTCCTCCAATCGCTTTGCTGGAACCGAAACATGCCTTACCTCAGAGCAGTCAATTACCAAAGCTACCCGAGATCATCAATCATGGGGGAATGCTTCAAGTTAAGGGGGAGGAGCAATGGTCAAACTATTGATTGCTGCAGTTTTGTACTCTCTCTCCCTCCCTCCTGCTCTCTCGCTCTCTCACTCACTCTCTCTCTCCCCACACATAAAATCTAAACCAGACTATCCTGGTAATAGTGGGATTTATCAATGATTATGAATCTACTTGTGTATGTTACGGCCTCGTACATACTTGGGCGGCGGCGACGGCAAGCCACGCATTTTAGACTTGGATTCCGGAGAGAAAAAGAGAGTGGGAACGGGACAAGGGACCGTTCTCAGGAGCAGGTCACGGGGAGGAAGAAAGAAAGAAAAAGTTGGGGAGGAAAAGCGAAATCTGCTAAAGGCACGGGAGGGAGGAACGAGTCTAAAAAACGCAGCCAATCTTTTCTGGGCTAAGGGAACCGGCTCCCGAGGTCAACGGAGCTCTCCAAAATGATGAATGATTGAGTACCTGCGATGATGATAGTGATTACCGGAGCAATTAAACAGTTTGATTAAATGAGCCATCATAACAATGATGTCTGCGGGATATCAGCCCTCGCTTATAAAGAAAGATAGAGGGGAGAGAGAGAGAGAGGCTTGAGGAACGCCACCGGGTAACGGCTTCGCTTCCCGGGAGCGCTTAGCCTGGCAAGCTTCGCAGCTTGAGCTCAGCCTCCGAAGCGGCAGGCGAAAGAGCTGGGAAAAAGAACTGGTTAGACTTTTTTTAAGCCTGACTTGCGCGCCCGTTTGAAGCGCCGAAGAGCCACCTTTGGGTAGGGACGGGAGAGAAGAGGGGGGTGTCTGCTTTTACTTGTTCTACCCCCTTCTCCCCTCCCCACTTTTCTTTTCTTCTAGAAGACCTCTTCCAAGATTAAAGCGATTCTTAGGAGCAGCCGCTACTCTTCTGTGGCTGGTTCGCCCGGCTCTGAGCATAAAGGTGAGTAAAAACCGCCCTCCCTACGCCGCTTTCTTTTCAAGCTGCGTTTAAATCGGTTCCTTTGCAAAAAAAAAAAAAAAAGACTTATTCGGGGGGCGAAAGGGGGTGGGTAGTCCCACCGTATTTTCTTCTATGTCGTAGAAATCGGTAACGCGCTTCAAGACATTCTTGGTAATGAATACTTGGCTAATCCTTTGGGTGCCCGGAGACCTATAGAGCAGTGGGTTATGCAAATCCTTTCCTACTTTTTGCAGCTGAAGCTTTCTAAGAGGTTGCCTTAAAAGCGATCTACTTTGTCAGGAATGGACTTTCTGAGGTCTCTTCCGCCCCCCCTTTCTTCCCAAAATGTCACTTTCCTAAATTCTTTAGGAATCGTATTGCTGCAATTCCTCATTATAGAACACTTTGTAAAAAAAAAAAAACTGTTTTCTATTAAAAACAGAAAAAAGCAAATCCGCAACCGAGGCTATATATATATCTCAGTTTTGATTGATTTAGCAAAAGAAGTGGGAACGACTTTGCCGCGAGTTTTTTCCCCCCTTTTAAATTCAACTCCATGAACAACTTTCCTGTACCAAGGCTGGGTGTATTGAGTAGAGTAAGTGAATATTATTGCAAAAAGATCTCTGTATACCACTTAAACTTGTATACCAGAAACCTTTAAAAAAAATATCTAAAAAGATATATTTGCAGGCTCCAGTAATGCTGTTTTCATTTATGTTTCTCCCCTCTTAAATGAATAATTCCTGTTTCAGGAATTTCAGTTCTTTTAAAATGCAAGGATAGATAGATAGATGATAGATACATAGACAGATAGATAGATANGAATTTGAATATTTTAACAGAGCACTTCAAATTGGCTTGAGCACTCACCATCTGCTCGAGCCCTAAACAGTATAGTTTATGTAATCTCCTTTAATATAAACAACAGCAAGGTCCATTTCTACACGTCCACTTAAAACAAACTTACACTAAAAATGTTCTGGGAAGACATGCAATATGTGTGTGTGTGTGTGTGTGTGTGTGTGTGTGTGTGTGCGTGTGTGTGCACGCGCGCGCGCGCGCACACACACACACACACACACACACACACACACATTTGGCTCTTTCAGGATGCCGTCCATTTCAGGTCTAATGATCCCATAGTTATGTATGCCCTGATTTTAGTTTTAAATAATAAATATTTTAGAAACTATGATATTGCTTTATAGGCCTTAGTAGCTATAAATGATATAACAGAACTTTGAGGAAACATTCAGTGTTTCCTTGCTTATATGCTTTGATAGCAATAATTATAAAATGTCATGAAATCTCCACATGGGGATTTCCAAAGAAACAAAACAATTATATTTATTTAAATATAGAAATGGTCTGTAACAAATTAATATTTTTCTGTGGTTATTAAGTATTGTCAACAAATATAAAATAATATTTAACTTTCCGCCATATTTTGAAAAGAAAAGGAAAACAAATAGAAAATATTCTTTATTTTGGATCTACTTTTCAGAGCAGACCAAAACTTATTATAGATTCTTGTACATAGCACAGGAATTCCTTTGTCAAGTTAGAATAATGTTCCTTCTATGTTATTCTTAGTTTCTACCGCTTGTTATGAAGTTATTTACAATGCCTATGTAAACTCTCCTCTCTACACTCTTAGAAATAAGGTATTATTCACACTTGAACACTATGTGTCTATTTATACATTCCTAAAGTAAATATACTTATTAACATACGTAACAGGTTTTCATAAGCATTTCTATAAAGCATAACAGCTCATGTAAAATGCCATTCCCAGACATATTTGTGCATATTCAACAAAAACAACTCACTGAGCTACTACTAAAGTGTTAAAACCAACGGCTAATGTGTAGTTACTCAGTCATAATTATTTGCAGCTTCTAAAAGGTTTTGTAAATAATTGGCATCTCAAGATTATTGAAATTTATTATGAAGCTTCAGCCACTTGGCAACATGTGCAAATTTCAGTGATAAGTTGCAATAGAGAAAGTAGTGCTGTTATTTATAACTTTGGTTCAAATTAGTACACAATAGCTAATAATTCTGCCTGGATAAAGTATGGAAGAAATCCCATTTTTAAATAGCTGAATAACTTAAATTTGGGTTTTTTTGTTACACAGCAGAAAATATTGCTTATTTTTACTAGACAGTTTGTCAACTCTTCAATGTGTCAATGTTGTAAACTTTACATGACTGAACTTAAACTTCTCAGTAATAAAATATAAAGTAATATTCTTCCATCAGAAACTTAGATTTAAACAATAGCTCTGTAACAGGTAACAGAGGTGAATTTAAAGTAAACAATTTCAATAGACAGGTAATGGTAAGAAAATCCTTAATTAATAACAGTCCGATAAGAGCCATTACAAATTATTGAAAAGACTTACATGGTCAGCTAAATTTGTGGATGATCCTGAGAGTTCTTCATGGTCAGATTTGGAGCTGCCATCTCTTTCATCAATAACTAGGTCTATGGGCATTTTGCCTTTAAGACAGCTAATGTACCGATGACAGAAATTATCACACAATTCATGAACCTGAATGTAACATTTAAATAAAGAAAGAGAAAAAAGAGATGCATTTTTAAAAGAGGGAGAAAGCAAAATTTCTAGACTGCAACTTGATCTCCCCCCCCCCATTAAAGCAAAAAGCACTGTGATCTACTATTCCAAGAGTAACTCTAATTAAGAGGCATATAGTTGAAGCAAGGAAACAATAGAGAAATTGTTGCAGCACATATTATTCCCCAGAGACTTGCTTGAGCAACAAGTTGGGGGATGCACAGCTATTAAACGTTAGCCTATTCTATAGATAGAAGAAAATCCGATTTGAGGATATTATCAGAAGTACTGAGATCTGGATAAATAAAACATCAAAACATAGGGAGTTCAGCCAAGAAAAGTGAAGGAAAGGAGGTGGGAAAAGACCAGTGTATATATTTTGAAATCTCTGGAAGAGTAAGAAGATATTTTTAGTACAAAATAATTTTCTTGTAGTATTTAGCCTTTTCATGTGATCATAAAATGTTGAGAACAGGGAATCATACTGAAAGGTAAGTTGCTTAAATATTATCTTTGGTTCAAATAATTTGCAAGAAGAAACCAAGACAGAGAAGAAAAGGACATAGCAGATACTTGAAAGAAGGTAGGAAAGAATGGATGGGGGGGGGGGAAGGAGGGGGAGTTAGAAAAAAATAAAAAGAGCCATGCACTTTTGGTTTAGTGTCAGGATGTGCTTTGTACCAGTTACAGTGTCCTTTTGAATTTCCCCAAGGGTTGTAGGAGGCCAAGAGAAGAAAAAGGAAAAGGAAAAGAGGGAGTGCCCCCTTGCTCTTACCTTTTCTAATTCCAAAAGGTGAAACCTTAAGACTTGTATTGCTTGTATCATCTGAAAGAAAACAGGGAACAGAGGAATTGTCATATAAGGGAGAGAAGGAGGCAAGTCAAGGAGTGGGGGATTGTCAGGGCACGCTCTCATTATCCAGGATTTTAGCTCTTTGGACACGCTTGGGCAATTTTGATCATCAACTTTAACCTAAAGCACTTGATTATTTTTTTTAAAAAAAAACTATCAAATCACACATAAACACACACACACTTAAAGAAAAACAGTGATAAGTGGTTTGCCAAGATGTCATCCCCTGTGGTTTTTTTAAAGTCTGCAAAGCAACCAAGTGCTAAACATCCACTCACAAATCCATCCATATTTTTTTTAAGAAAAAACAAAGAAGGCAAGGTGAAATGGCTTCAAATGAATGATCTGCCGTCACCTCTTTTTTTTCCAAGTGGATTTCCAGTACTCTTAATATTAAAATTTGACAAATTATCAAAAGAATCATACTCAGCAGCTTCAAACTCTTTTCTGAAGCCATGATTTCCTTCTCTTTTGCTTCTCAGGGCTTAAACCCAGCAGCTCAAGTATCTGCTGCCTTTCTATGTCAAGAATTCGAGTTCCTTGAAGCCCCTGGGTAAGAATAATTTCTTTTTCATTCAGATTATTGGCACCTCTACAAATATTTCTGCAAGTCCCTCTTCGTATTATTTTATTTTAACCAGGGCTAAGCACGTGGGGTCTCCCAGAGCATAAGAGGTCAAAATGAAAACAGTCAGGAAGAACCTTACCAAATTATCCAATTCTGGATTTGAAGAAAAAAGTGGTTTTTCTGCCCGAACCTATATGGGAGGGGGAGGGGGGAGAGTGAGTAGGAATCAGTGCGTATTTCAGCTACCTTAAAAACTCCCTATTTGTTTGGCCTGTGCCCCCACCCCACCTCACAGTCTAATTGTAACAGATCAAAACATTAAGTAATTCCAAGTTCTTTTCAATGCCAAAGAGATATTTGGAAACTTAGGCCACTCAGGGCCACCACCATTCTTCCTGTCCCACACAAGCTTCCTTCTCACCCAGTTCACAATTTCAACCAAGGGAGGGCTGAGAAATGGGCCTAACAGCCCTCGAATTTATCTCCCCACCCAATCCCCTTCTAACAATGCCCCGTTCCTGTAAGTTAAGGGAACCCTAGGTCTCCCAGCAGACCTTTCTAGCAGCCAGAAGAGAAGGGAAGGGGGAAATGGGGATGATAGAGAGGTGGCTGAGCAGAAGGGAAAGGCACCCAGATCCAGATTGGCCGGAACATTTTCCCACAGACGCTCCAAAGCTTCCTAAGAGCAAGCGCCGCCCTCCCCTTTCCCCAAGGCCTGAGGAACAGCAGGCCTCGTCGCGCGGGCCTTCTGAGGGGGGGTGCCTTCTATGGGGAGGGGACTGTCTTTGGCTTGAGGTGTCGTGCGCTCAAGGTGGGGTCTTGGGGGGGGGAGAAGGGGCGTGGAAAAGCGGGGAGGAAAAGAGTTTCGACCTGTTTAGCGAAGACGGCGATGTCCTCATTGAAGGAGTCGGAGGAGCAGACGTCTCCGCCGGCCACTCCGGGCTCTCGGGGAGTGCAGGTGGCGAGCTCGCACTTTTCAAAGACCAGAGCTAACAGAGGGAACAACGGGTGCCTGCCGGGCGACGACATACAAAGAGAAAAGGAGGGGAGAACGACATTAAGAGAGAGAGAAAACGAGAGAGAGGGGAAAAGGGAAAATCTAATCAACAAGTTTCCTCAAAAAGAAAAGAAACATAACGTATCTCCACGCGCGAGCTTAACGTCCCTCAGCCTTCCCATAACTAAAGAAAGGGACAACAACACGGAGCCAAAAGTAACACCACACATGCAGACGCCTCCCCACAAAAATCCTGGGTTGGAACCGAACTCCACAAATCCATGTGCGCCAACAAATAACAATTACCCAGCCCCAGATTGAGCAGTGAAAGTCCCGGAGCTTTTAAATTTAGCAAGGAAACGAGCAGAGCCCTCGTCCCGAAGACACGACAGTACCAAACGCGTGAAGGCTTGATTTTTTACCCAAAGTCTGAAGTTTCTAATTTTGGTGAGAAGTAATAAGAGCCACGCTATCTGGGAAGGAAAGGAGACGAGAAAGAAGGGGATCCCGGGGGTGGTAGAGACTCAAGAAATGCGTCCAGATTAAATATCGACTACCCCGTCATAAAAAAGAAGACGACTGAATAAATTCCTCCCCATTGTCCGGCCAGATACTGCCTGAGGATCAGGATCTAACTGGGCGATACGTTAAACCAGTAAATCCTTTTCCTAAATCTTTCCTCCTAGTGTTAATTGTGTCACAAGGACTGTTATTGCATGCTTTAAAGAAGGAAAGAAAAATGTCACCTAAATAAAACTTTGCTGAGGAGAATATATTTCCCCCAATCTTCCCATACCGCCACCCCGGTTTGTTTTCAAGGACTAACCCACATTTTACTTTTATTAATTCTGCATTTACAGAGCAACATCTAAAGAAATAAACAGCACAACCTCCGCTGATTTCAGTAGAATTTGCATGTGTGTAAATGAGCTTGGGGAAACCAGGCTTCCTTTTCATTTCTAAGAGCAGGGAAACAATAAATATTTTTAAAAGCTCTTAAGGAACTGTCTTAAAGACTGTCCGAAGAATGGAGCAGTTTAGCCACACTGCTTTCACTAAAATCTGAACACACTTCCAGCGCGTCAAAATAACACTCCCGTCAATCCCTGCATCATCCGTGGGATTTCTTGGCTGAACTTTCCCATATATTTATGCCGTTTTTAACTTTATCTACCTAAAATGTTTTTATTACCTACAGAAATGCAGAAAGGGATCTATCGTGATCTATACTGATCTATAATGACAATTACACGTGTCCTCTAGATTTCAGGAAGAAAACCCGAGTAGGATTTTAGAAAGGAGAGATTGTTTAAAAAGCATTTTACAGTTGTCTCCAAAAATCTTGTGCCTACTGCACTCTTTGTGCAGGACGGTTATTCCTCTGCCCTCTTTCCTGAAAGAGAGATCTCTCCGGCCCTTTGCACCTACACACACACACACACACACACACACCGAAATACACATATGCTGCAAGGAGCGGGCCACTGCGCCTGGCTTGCCTTGCTTTGTACCTACCCATAAATTGCATCCTTGTCCCGCTTCAAGGCGTCATTGACAGCCGATCCCATGCTGGCCGGCATGACATTGGGGTGCGGGGCATGGGCTCCATAATGCTGGCTGGCATGCAGTGGCGGCCCGTGGTTCAAATGGTGTACTGGGGGGATCGGCCTGGGGGCGTGAGGGTCTCCATACATGGAAGCAGGTACCCCTACTCCGTCCATCCCGCCGTAATGAGGCAGCTCATCGTACTGTCAAAAAGAAAATGGGCCAGAAAAGGAAGGAAATAGAACCAGAAGAAGAGAGAGAGGAAAGGGAGAAAGAAAAAGAAAGGGGGTGAAAAGGGGAAGAAATAAACAAAAACAAAACAAAACAAAAACAACAGAAGTCAGAAGAGAGTAAAGCACCAGGCAAGTCAGACAAAACAGAGCAAAACTACAAACCAGGACCAGCCACAACAGAGAGGAAAGCGATACAAACTGAAATCAAAATAAAAAGTGCAGTCGACAGAGCTGGGGGGGGGGGCAAGGGAAGAAGGGGGCAAGGAATGTGTGTGTGAGAGAGAGCCGGTTGTAGGGAAAGCTCTATCGAGGGCAAAATACGGGAAGGGGAAGTGTGAAAGGGAAGAAGGAGGAAACCGTCTACGAATTAGAGGAGACGGGGCCACAGATAAACGAACACCCCACCGGCGACCAGATGAATGCTACGGAGTAGGAAGGGTAAACAAGACTGAGAAGGGAGAGAAGAGCGCGAGAGAAAGAGAGCAAATAATCTGAAAGTTACCAGAAACATTATTTAGTCGCAATTCCCCCTTGTCCTTGTCAAAATCAGAGGTAAACCAAGCAGCAAATGTAGCTGTATTTCCCAGGCAGCGGCAGCAACAGCCACAGCAGCAGAAGCGGCGGCGGCGGCAGCAGCAGCAGCAGGCAAACCTTCCCCCCTGTAAACCGCGCGCCACTGAGCACTTAGAGAGGAGCAGGGAAATCGCGCTGCTGGGGAAAAAGCTACAGAGGAAAGAAGCGTGGAACAATTGCACACGCACGCACGCACACACACACACACACACACACACACAGAGGGAGACAGACACACGCAGAGAGAGAGAGAGAGGGAGAGAGAGAAAGAGGGGGAAAGAAAGAGACATAGAGGCACACGCACACACAAAACCGGTGAATAATTTTTGCTGCTATTTGTTTTGTTTCTCTAAACAGTGGCCGCCATGAGCAGCAGCAACGGGGAAAGAGCAAATCCGACAGGTCCCTCTTAAGAAAGGATTTATACGTAAGGTAAGTGCTGGAGATTTAAACCTACCCTTTGCGCCATCAGTCTGCGCTCCAATAAACTCCGGGATGTGTCCTATATTTAATATCCCAGTCCAGTAACAACACCAACAAAGTGACTGAAGAAGAAGGAAAGGAAGAAAAAAAAATCCCTTTTCCCTTGTTTCTCCGACCCACTTATAGAGTTCTCCAATACGCGTAAATATTCATAAAGACAGTCGTTATAACAATAAAAAGTAGGGAAAAATAAACCACGTAGAGTTTGTCTGTTTCCCCAGCGTGCTCTTCTTTATTTCCCTTTTCTGTGTCTTTCCTTTTTTTCTTCTTTTACGTAAAAAAAAAAATGATGGTGTCTAAAAAAAAATAAACATAAAAGTCGCCAAGCCCCACACTGAAGGTTACGATCGGCCCGTCAGCAACCCACATGTAACCAAACTGTCGTGTCTCATGGCTTTTTGCCACTCCAGCTGTCAATCAAAGCCATGGAATGTCAAGGTAGTGAATGAATGATGGCTGGTGGTGAAGAAGAAGAAGAAGAAGAAGAAGAAAAGAGGAATCTTTTAACCTCGGATTCTTCTCTCAGTAAGTCCGCGTTTGGGATTTTGCTTGTAGGAAAGCTATAGTTTCTTTAAAAAAAAAAAAAACTACCGGGAGGGGGAGGGTGGGGTAGGATGCGAAGAAAAATGGAATAGTTTGCAAAACGTGGACTTCCTCCGTTCTTTTTGTGTGCGTGTGTATGTGCGTGGTTGGGTGAGTGTGTGTGTGCGCGCGCGTTGTTGTTGTTTTTTTCTTTCCCCCTCCCGGTAGTTTTTTTTTTTTTTAAAGAAACTATAGCTTTCCTACAAGCAAAATCCCAAACGCGGACTTACTGAGAGAAGAATCCGAGGTTAAAAGATTCCTCTTTTCTTCTTCTTCTTCTTCTTCTTCTTCACCACCAGCCATCATTCATTCACTACCTTGACATTCCATGGCTTTGATTGACAGCTGGAGTGGCA